ACACCATGCATTTTTCTCGGCTATCCTACCAACCATAAAGGTTATTGATGCTTAAATCTTGACACCAACAAAATCATCATCTCTCGTCACGTCGTTTTTGACGAGACAGTCTTTCCACTTCGCTCCATGACACCAAATATGGCTCCTTCTTACTCATTTCTAGATCAATTTGGCATGCCTTCACCTCTCGACTCTCTTAGTCAAATCTCAGCCTCAACAGAGGACGATTCTCCTAACGAGGACCCCTCCCATACCGAGTACTCTTCCTTTTCTCCCTCGAGTCCTTCACCACCAAGAACTCCATCATCACCTCGCACTTCCTCTTCAGATCACACCCATTTGGCTCAATATTCACCAAACAACCCACAATCGGTCATTGTCTCTCCTTCTCTCGATGTTGTTCCTTCTCAATCACAATACCCAATGGTTACTCAAGCCAAACTCAAAATAGTCAAACCTATTCAAAAATTCAACTTATATGTTGAATCCTCTTATCCTATCTCTAAAACTTATTTACAAGCTTTTAATGATTCTAACTAGCTAAATGTGATGACCGATGAATTTACTGCTCTTATATCTAACAATACTTGGGTTCTTTGTACCATGTCCACCTGCTACAAATAATATTATTGATTGTATTTGGTTTTTCAAGAATAAATTGAATGCAAATAGCCCCTTAGATCGATATAAAGCTTGTCTTGTTGCTAACGGATGAAGTCAGAGACCCGGTATCGACTGTGATGAGACTTTCAGTGTGGTTGTTAAACCGGATACTATTCAGACTGTCCTCAGCACCATTGTTACTCATAAGGGGCCCATTAGACAACTCAATGTGAAGAACGTTTTTCTTCATGGAAACTTACAGAAGACTGTCTAGATGCATCAACCACCAGTTTATTGTGATCCTTCTAGACCAGATCATGTTTGCATGCTTCAGAGATCTCTTTACGGTCTAAAGCAATCCCCATGCACTTGCTTTTAATGCTTTGCCATGTTTATCTCACGTACTGGTTTTGTGCATAGTAGGTGTGACTCTTCACTGTTTATCTACATGCATGGTTCTCATATGGAATACCTCCTGCCCTATGTGGATGACATTGTTCTTACCGACTCTTCTACAGAGCTCCTGACACACATTATATCTCTCCTGGGTGCTGAGTTCTATAACTGACTTGGGTAATCTACATTATTTTCTTGGTGTTTCGGCTTCATGATCACCTGATGGTTTATTTGTGTCTCAACATAAGTATGCTACATAGATAATTGAAGGGGCTAATATGCTTAACTGCAAATCAACTCATATTCCTGCTGATTTGTCTACCAAACTTGATCGCTATGGTCCACCAGTTAGGGATCCCACTCTTTACCGCAGTCTCACAGGTGCTCTTTAATATCTCATGGTCTACGGTTATTCACCTCTCCTCGTCGTGATCTGAATTGGGTTGGCTGTCCAGTTTCTAGACGCTCCACGGCTACTGTGTCTTTTTGGGAAATAATATTTTGTCTTGGTCCTCGAAACAACGGAACACTGTCTCCATATCTAGTGTGGAAGCTGAGTATCGAGGTGTGGCCAACATTGTTGCTGAAACATGCTGGATTCATAATTTATTACTTGAAATGCACTATTCACCACATCGGGCTACTATTATTTGTTGTGATAACGTGAGTGCAGTCCACATGTATTCTAATCTAGTTCAACATCAACGAACGAAACACATCGAGATTGATCTTCATTTTGTGCGAGATAAAGTTGCTACCTGTCATGTTAGCATACTTCATGTTCCATCTTCGTCCCAATAGGCCGACATTTTCACGAAGAGTCTACCCACTGCGTTGTTTCTCGAGTTTAGATAAGCTTGAACGTTACAGATTCTCCTCCCGTTCTCACTGCAAGGGGCTATTAGAGTATATTTATTATTTATTGTATTATACGTATTGTCATATGCTAGATACGTATGAGGTTCAATGTATTTGGCCTAAGTCCATGTATTATGTGTTTATACCAACTGTTTAATGAGAGATTGGGGAGAAGATTTACTTTGATCGCAGTTGAATATAAAAACTTGACTAAAGAACTTCAAAAAGTAAAAACATCATTGGACCATTAAAGGTGTCGTTGGTAAAACCAATAAGTTCTTGGTTCATAATGATTTTCCATGCTACAAGAGCTTACATCAAAATTCCCATAAATTTTGATGATAAATCAGAGTTCTAGGAGATTTGAATGTGTCAAATCTTCACGAATGATACTGAGCAACTTGCTAGACACAAGGCTTCCGCTGAAGTCGAATAGCCAAGAAAATATCAAACTGGAAGATTTTTAGAGGAGATATCGAAAATACAAATATGTTTTTAGCGGTGTGAATCAGTGAATGAGGCGGTAAGTGACATATTGATGGAGAGGGACATGATCCAGGAAAAGACGATGAGTAGTATGACGAGTGAGAGAGGGAGAAACCGATGAGTAGTTTAATTTTCAGAAACAAAAGAGGTAAAATCTTATGTGTGATGAAGACGACGTGAGAGAGACAGGAGGAGAAAGTGCGTGGGGCAAAGAGGGTAATTGGGCTTGTTTTTTTTTTTTTTTTTTTTTTTTTTTTTTTTTTTTTTTTAATAACTAGGCTTATTAAGTAAATAAAAATTAAAATACCATTAGTTGGTAATAATTTAATGGAGATACAAAAAAAAAAAAAAAACTCCGCATGAGCCTACCTAAACAGACACCCGTTGTGTTATATCTACTGAATTGTAACTTTGTTTATTAGTTAGTAATAGGACGTCAACATATCAATTGTGTTAGAAAAATATGGAAATTAATTAAACTAGTCAAATGTTTATGACAATTTACTGAATTGTGGATTTGTTTTTTTTTATTACAAAATGACCGACTAGTCCACAACATTATATACCACACTGAATGGCCACTACATATGACATTCTAGAATCTACACCGAAATATGAAGATATTTCGGAGAAACTTTGCAACGAAAAAATTACATCCGATTCCAATGAGTTGGATGTTTTACGGTTAAGTTTTTCATTCATTTATTTGTACTTGTTTTATATTTAGTATTAACTGAAATATTATAGTCCGGAATGCAAAGACATCTCAGGATTACATAGAAAATCTTTCGAAATGTAGTATTAATTCATGAGTGTGTTGGGTATGTAGTTATTTAGTCTTATTAACGTTCCAATACATTAGATAAGTAGTTAGGTTAATTATAAGTGTCTTCATAGAACTACAGAATGAATTTTGTATTTTGGAATACGAAGAACAACTCTGGAATGTGTAGAGCAATCTAGTCCGGAATGCTATAGACACTTCAAAACGATGTTCCGTTTAATATTGTAACTAAATTATTTTTTCATTTTTTAGCATGCCAAAATTTGGCTCAAAAATGGATATTTTTGTTTAATCTCGAACCCCAAATACTAGCCTTTAGATACGCCTTGAGAGAAAAGCAAATTTCACTATAAACCAAAATTTGGCTGATCTAAAGTTATAAAATATCGCCTAGCTAGCAAAACATTATTTGACCAAATCAAATAATCTACTCAGCAATCGGCCAAGAACATAAATTTCAATATGTTACAAATATCCGGCTAGACCAACGTACAAAATATAAATAATCCAACAGTTATAAATCTGAACGAAAAAAAAGTCTGCTCAAGTAGAAAAGAATGGGAAAAGGGAAGTGATACCCAAACAAAGGTAGCCCGTCGACCAACAAACAAATGGATTATATACATGGGCGCATATATATAACATAAACAATATTTAAAAAAAATATACATGTGCCTTCTCTTTCAATCGCCTGTTCTGCAAAGAAAGATTTTCAGGATGAACTGTGAGTTGTGAAGAAGAAAGTCAAAGTCATAAGGTATATATAACGAGTATTTGTAATGGGAAAGGGGGGTGATTGTATAATTTTAAAAATCTGACTGTTATTAAACCTTTCATAACATACTAACTACTAAGTTTTTATATGTAACCAAAACCAAGAAAACTTCCTTGCTTTATAAAATATTATTTAGACTATTCAGTTAATAAAGAAATACTAGCTAAAAGCTTTATATCACCTGCTCCTCATAATTGAAATAAAAATTAGCCTCCAATATTGAAATACCGCATAAAATTATTCTATCATTTAAATTATCTAAACAAAAAATGGCATCTACTAAAAGCTTCGTGTCACCTAATTACACTCATTATTATTATTATTGTTTAAATGGTAAACACAATCTGAGCAGTATACATCAATCTACTGTATTCTTGTAGCTATTCACTCAGTGCACACCAATAGAATCTAAACACTTTCAAAGTGTTGTGTTTGCCAGGTTTTAAACCATGGACCTCGTGTATGTAATTTTACTCTTCAATTTTGAGCTCTTATCATAGGTTTTTGCATAATTAGTTTATAAATAGAAATTAGCCAGTAACAATTTGAGTAGATTATTATTTGAATTTTTAATAATCATTAACATCTCTTAAAAAGCTTTTGTACTGACCTCCACAAAAAAAAAAAAAAAAAAAAAAAAGTCTGCGTTATTGACAGTTTTTTAGTGACGACTTAAAATCTCGTCACTAACAATATCATTAAGTCGCCATATAATAAGTCGTCACTAAAATTTGATAATTCTACAAATTTAATGACCAATATTTATCATAGGTTTTTGCATAATTAGTTTATAAATAGAAATTAGCCACTAACAATTTGAGTAGATTATTATTTGAATTTTTAATAATCATTAACATCTCTTAAAAAGCTTTTGTACCGACCCTCCACTACAAACAAAAAAACAATGTCTCCGTTATTGACAGTTTTTTAGTGACAACTTAAAATCTCGTCACTAACAATATCATTAAGTCGCCATATAATAAGTCGTCACTAAAATTTGATAATTCTACAAATTTAATGACCAATATTATTATAATAGTCGTCACTAAAAACCCTTGACGCCGTTGACCAGTGATCCTTTAATCGGCGTTAGCCTTATCAGTTTTCATCCAAGTGAATGGTGAAGGAGATGGCGCCACTACAAAAAACGTTAAAAGACCCGGTTAAATAGCTTAAAGAAGCCGGTTTTGCAATCGAGTTTGATGCTGGCGAGTCCTATGTAGAATACGTAATAGAACCAAGTTCTAAACCGGGTCTTTTTATTACAAAGAGAGCTCGGTTAGCATTTATATAACCGGGTCATATAACACTTTACGTGCCAATTGCATATGAATATTAGAACCGGTTCCCTTCAATATAACCGGGGCATATGAAAACAAAATATATACCGGTTCATACAAACAACCGGGTTGTGATAGACTTTTACCATTTTTTCACTTTAGGCTTAGAACCTGGTTTCTAGATAAGCAAACGGTTCCTTTTAACACCCTGATTTTTTTTTAAATATAATTTTATAAAAATAACAGTACAATAGTTGTAGACTATCAATTTATAACAAAATTGTACAGATAAACAATGTTTTTTATGTGGAAATGTTAAATACACCATAATAGTCATTGATCAAAATATAATCAAACAAAGACAATTGTCTAAGTAGCAAAAGAGATCATGGATTTGGTAATTTCATATATCATACAACTTGCATGAAAACTTACAAACACACACACACACACATTTGTCTTGACTTGGCATAGGGATTGTCAAAAAAATCAATTGTAGTGACTCTTTCTTCTAACCTCCTTGAAAAACAAACAAATGAAAGTATAAAGGTAAGAAGAAATCCAACAAAAGGTAATTAAACTAAAGTTAAGAAGTTTTAAAATTCAATAACTAACCGTATATGCTTTTTTCTGAGGACCACATCCTTCATATAGTTATTCAAAAACTCTCTAGACCAAGTAGAAACAGTTGCAAGCAACACCTTTTCCTCAAAGGCACTTTTGTCATTCCAAATGCTACCAGACTACATTAAATATAAAGTTAAACATATTCATTAACAAACCAAATTTTTTGTTGCAATAGACAAAGTGAACAAATATTAAAAAGGTACTTACTTTACATGGAAATCCATGTTGTCTTGTCGTCAAGAAATCAAACATCAATCGCATTACAAAATGCCCGCTCTCTAAACCACCAAGTTGTTGGTTGCACTAAAAATTGTAGCAAAAAGTAAACATTAATCAAACAAATGAAACTACAACAATTATTTGTTTTGGTATATAACAAGATGAATTACCTCAGCAAAAATCCATCCAATTGGAGTTGAAGTGTCTTTTTCATACCTCATGAAAGCCCTTAAAAGAAATAAACAAGTGTTGTGTTCAAAATAATAAAAAGATTTATATCTTGCTATGATGTAAGTAATTTCTTACATGTCCACATGTTTTTTGAGCAGGTAATGGTAGTCGGCAGACTTTTCTATACGATCCTTAAGAGAATCCAAAATATAGACAATGCGATTGCGAAGGGAAATCACCAAGAGCACCCAATGCTTACTTGAGACGATTAAACATTTAGTAATAAAGATAAAAAATTATTGTACTTTTTCAAATATGGTGCAATGAGAAACAATTTTCCGTGGTGCAGACGAATGGAATCAACAAGATAACTAACGACACCCTCTTAGGTTGTGTTTGATCCCCGTCTGACTGGGTTTGAGTCAGACATTTGGTCTGACTCGGTCAGACATTGACTGTTTGATGTTGTGCTTTCTCGGTCAGACGTCTGGCCCAAATGTCTTACCCGGTCAGCTTTGTAACATATGCTGACTGGGAATAAAGACACTCCTACCCTCTATATTCTTTCTTCCCTCGTTACCCATTCTTCAATCGTAACCTAAAAAATAAGCGCAGACACAAAAATCACCGCCTCCTCCATCGACAGCTCCCCGTCATCTCGCCGGTCGCCACCATCTAGCCCACCCACGAGCTGCAGCAGAGACATCTAGGCGATGAGCAACCTCTGGATCCAACAATGCAAAGAATGGATTTACAACTTTTGTTGCTGAGAATAGCCACCCACTGGATATGAATTGAATTGAATTTATCAGTAAACCAATCTATGATAAAACAAAAGAAAACAGGGTAAGGGCTTAAAGTACCCGAATGTTGCTTCATCAACAGTGCTAGCATAAGCTCCACCAGCTATAATCATGCCAATGGTAGCTCCTGTAAGTAATCTTCCCTAAAATGTAAAATTAATTACAAATTCATAAACCAATACACATGAAAATTCAAATAACTTTCAATTTATGAATGTTTTTGCTATTAGTCCACTGTTCATTGTTTATATTCAAGCCGAATACATTCGAATCTGAAATTGATGTTATACAATAGCTTATGAGTATTGTAAAGTGAATGAATTGAGTAAAGCCATGGAGGTTGTTGATAGATTAGAGAAGAAGTTATGGGTTAGAACATTGAATACTTTGGTGAGAAAGTTATGTAGTGAGAAGAAAGTGGAGATTGCAATTCCTTTTGTTTATAAATTGATTGATAAAGAGAAGAATTTGGATCGAATAATGCTTATGGGTATTGTTACTTTATGTTATGATAGCAATCATTATGTGATTATTTCTGATATATAGGAAAGAATATCAAAAGGAATTGGTTAGTAGGTGAAACACAAGGTGATAATGGATTTAGAGATTGTAATGTTGTCATTAATGATGATGATTGTTGAGCATTATAAAAGTGTAATGTTTGAATATTTAAACCAATTGGTTAGTGTAATCTTTGAATATTGTTTGGATATATGTTGGCAATGTTGACCTTAATTGTGCTATTATTATTTAGGATGATGTTGATTTCATTAGTAGAAAATTGTTTTATGTTTAAAACTGTTCTTGATCATGATAAAAGTTATGATAAATTACTTTAAATATTAATGTTTTAGGATGTTGGTTTGGAGCGAGGGTAAAATGGTTATTTGTCATCAGTCAGCACATCCAGTCAGATGTACAATCAAACAACATGATTTCTTACTCAGTCAGGATTTCTTACCCAGACAGACATTTCTCAGTCAGCACTTTCTCAGTTAGCAACTATCAAACGGGGCCTTAGTTTTTATGGCATGCCTCCCCTAGAATATTATAAGGGTTCAAGAAATTACATTTCTTGATACACGTTCGAACCATTGAATGAAGAATCCTACAAACAAGAAAACAAAAAATGTTATGGTCAACTAATAATAGTAAAATTTTACTGGATTTACAGTTGCCAAGCAGGAAGCATCAGTTGTTTGTTTTCTCAGCAATCGAAAATATTCTGCACATGTAACCGAAAAATCATATGTCCCGATTTCCAAGATCCTAGAATCGGCTACAATGTTAACCACTGGGTTGGTCTTCAAGCAATCACGAAGATATTCAATCGGCCTCGCCTTGTTGGATGTTTGGTTGGGTATGTTCTTGTTTGTACCAGCCGAAGCAATTGTTGGCACCAAACTTGTGGTTGGAATTTGTTTCTTCGTTCTTCGTTCCTACATTTTAATTCATTTGACTATCACATACAATTATAATTTGTTGTTTATATAGTAGCTTTAAATGTAAAGGATAATGCATATGTACCTTTGCAAGGATAATTGCAATCCAGGCCATTGAATTACAGTGCCAACCGCCCCGTGTAGGTTAGCAACTTCTTTTGTCATGAAAATTTTCATATCTACAATCGATGTCGTCTATCAGAACCTTCAGGTGATTTTCCCGTAAAGGCAACGTGTGTATTAACCCATTCCCATATGGAAATACCAATCCTTTGGCACATTTTTGGTCCAACTCCCCATAGGGTAACACCAATTGACAAGAGGTAGGCATTTGTAAACATATAGTAAAACAAAAATAAATATAAAAGATCTTTGAAGGATAACAAACAAAAAAAGTACATAATAATCTAATAACTATATTTGAATTTTTAACCATTCTAAGTATATCTATTATAGTTCAAACCCTTCTAACAAAACATTTTAATTAAAAAACTAGAGTCTTTTGGCACTACTATACAACCAAAATGATGATATTAAGGAAAACTCAAACACAATTATTATAATGCTGCATTTTCTAACATAAATATTATAATAATATAATTTGTGCAAATATAAGAATAAACAAATAAATACAGTACCACTTCTGTTGATATGGAATCAAACAATATTTAACATCCAAGAAAAAATATTAGTTAAATTAATTAAACTAGTATATTATCACTAAAAAAATGATTAGAAAAACACTAGTACTCAGTTTTGTTGGTCATCCCTAGTTCTGAGCATAATTTCTCTACAAACAGGTTTAGTATTTATTGTTTCTAGATGATACTGGAAAATAAATACACTCATTTACCTTTATCGCATCCAAAGCATCTAATATTGGATTTGAGCCACAATTATTTTGTTGAACCCCTAAGCTTACATCATATGGGGCATGGTTCCTAGACCCATGTTGTAAGTCAAACAATGCTTGTAGCTTTGCCAATTGGGAGCCCATCAGATTTATCGTTTCCTGCAGCTTATCATCAGTTTCTTTTTCATGTTTTTCCTATTTTTTTTATTTCAGTCCCTTGCATACCTTTTCTCAATCCAACGTCATGACTAACAGCCCTGGTACGCCCCGGGTGCTCCAGTCCTATTACTGTTGTCAACAAGTCCTCTCCTGCACCAATTCTCCTTCAGAGATTTGAGTCTGGACATCGACCTGTTAACGGAAATAACAAACCAGTGACAGTAATTACTTAGATATAAATGATTAAAAGAATTTACTTACAAGCTTGTCCACTATGGGTTTATGTGTCACAACTAGGAATTTTGATGCTTTGTAACAACAACAATGATAACATTTGTGAACCAAAATGTGAAAGCATGTATAATGCTTATTCAATAACAACAAACTTCCATCAAACACTTTATACAAGCACTGCAAATAGTCAACAAAGAATTGGAAACCCTAGAAATCCCGGTTTAAGTCCATTTTGGATTAGGATTTTCTTATTTGGGCCTAATGGACCAATAAGCTTCCAATTTGACTATTTTGGGCTTAGAACTCCTATATGGACTCTAATTGGACCCACTTTCATTTATTTTAACATTTTGAGCCATAATGGGCCTAGAATGAAATAAAATACCCTAATGAGCCATAACAAATCTAATTAACTTAAAAAGGCCATAAAACTCATTCCTTGACTTATTTTGGGCTGTGAACCCTCTCCAAAGACCAATTGGGCCAAAAATCATCCAATTGGGCCAAAATATGGACTGAAGCACAAGAAGGCCCAATTTCTTTTCTTTCTTCTCCTTCTCTCGGCCCAACTACACAAATAGGGGAAAAGAGTTGACTTTTCTACTTGCCACCTCACAATTGTATATGGGGTATCCATGCACCCTTCCCATATTTCCAAGCATCCATCACTTCACTCTCTCTCTTCTCCTCTCTTTTTCTTCTTCGGCCGAGAACACAAAGGGAAAGACACACACACACACAATTCACTCAAACACTCTCAAAGAACACTCTTACTTCTTCTTCAAAAATTTCGAGATTTAAGAGCTTTCAAGTAGGATTCTCCCTAAGAGTCATCATCTAAGGTAAGTTGATGCTTAAATCCATGATCTAACTACTTCATTTCATCAAAAATCTCCTCCTAATCTATTCAAACTCGTGATCTTGCATCTCAGAGCACATCTAATCCAAAGATACTTCAAGAAGCTTGCTAGGCCGAGAATAGCATCAAACTTCTTCCATTCTTCTTCAAAACCAAACCCACAAACTCAAGGTGAGTTCATACCCCTCTCTTTTCGGTTTTCATATGTTCTATGGAGGAGAATACAAGTAAAATGTGTAGATCTATGTGTATGTGTATGCTATGTATGATTTTATGCATGTATGTGTGATTATAAGTGTTTATGTGGTAAATGTGTAACAAAAAGAATAGGAACTCGAGATCTATGGCTCTAAGAGGAAGATATACATGATCTAAGATGTATTACACTAAAACAAGTCAAGAAAAATTTCCCTCTAAGATTAAAGTATACATATTGCAACATAAAACTCACTTTTGGGCTAAAATTGTCAAACAAACAAAAGTTGAGTTAAAAATTGCCATTCACGGTTTTCATCAGGGTCAAAAGAGTCAAAACAGTTAAAATAAATGTTTTTATGAATATTATGCTCTTCAAAGGACTTGAAATGTAAATATTAGCTTAATGGGCCAATTTTTGGGCTTTTCGGCCCATTAAGTTCAAAGTTGCGAAAAACATGATTTTCAAGGGGCTGAAATGATAAATTCTTCAAAACAGGGGATAAGAAGTTAAAAAAAACTATTTCAAGGGTTAAAATGCTTTTCTTTTCCAAAAAGGATAAAAAACGTAAAGTTTTTGGATTTTGGGCCAAAATTGTAAAAGTTGCAAAAAGTTTGGACTTTAACCGAAAAATACTTTTCTGGAAGGGCTGAAACTGCCAAAGAATAAGTTTTGAGCCAAAAATATCACTTGAACAAGTCTATGGGTCAAATGTGTCAAGAAAATGGTTTAAGGGCTAAAATGTCTTTTTTTTATAAGGGACTAAAATTGTCATCTTTATTAAAGAAGGGCTGAAATGGGTCAAACCAATATTTTGAATCAATTCTTTTACTATTAAGATGTTTGAGTCAAAAATACAAAACTACAACTCATGAAGATGAATATATGTATAATTCCAAAAATCGTTAACAACAACCGAACGGCCTCGTGCCGATCCAAAATTATCAATCGTTCAATCAAACTTTCCAACAATTATGAAATACCTAAAACAAGTAAACATTCAAAACTTTGGGCTTGAAAGTTCCAATCATGCTTGTTGGGCCTTTGTGATCCATTAACATGATTTTTGGGCCCAAGGGATAATAATAATAAATGTTATTGGGCCTTCTATGACCCAATTTCATATTAAAGGGACCCTCAATGGCTTTTAAGTGCTATTGGGCCTTAGTGGCCCATTAGCATTGCTAGTAAGGTCCAAGTAATCAAATGCGAAATGGGCCAACGTGTCCTTCGTATACCCAACAGTCTAAAATAACTCACGAAAGTAGCAGGGCTTTGTATTCCTCTTCTCCTCGTTTGTTAGGCTTATGCGTAATCAAAGTAAACAAATTCAGGTCGTTAATCAATAGTAATCAAAGTTGTTTGGATTAAGTGAGTAATAACGGACGACACCTCTAAGGGTCGTTCGTAGTCTGTAGTTATTATCAAAGTCTCCTGGAAGGAGAGCGTGAGTTTGTGTATAGATCTATACGGGGGTGACTCCCCCACACCTCAGTTGTTCGCTACAGTTAGACTCGGCCAGTCTAGGGTGACAAAATCTTAAGATCAATCCCGGCGCACGACAGGTTGCCAAGACAGACGAACTAGTCATTATTATGCATGGTTATAACAACTCACAAAATTAATTAATCCAATACCATCCTAGTAATCAAGGAAGAGTAATCAAAATCATTCGTTGTGGCAGTATAGCAATTTGAGAAACAACTGTATTTTATGTATTCGGAAAACATCGGGTTTTTCGATGAAATCAACATCACTCGCTTGTATTTTTCTATAACTATAATACAAAACTCCCTTTTTATACACGTTTTGAAATCATTCATGCATCAACTTATGGATCTTCACACTTTGGTAAACTATTGTCTTTTTAGAAAATATCGGATTTTCTGGGTTTTACAAACTACACAAATCATTTTTATCACAACCCTGCTTATGAACTCACCAACATTTCAGATGTTGACGTTTTTCAAAATAACTTGTATTCTCAGGTAACATGTAAGCTGAAGGGTAATATCAAGTACTTTAGGATGTTATGTTTTGAAAACTCTCAAACAATTTATGTTATGAATGTGTAATATTTAAAACAATGTACTGGATGTGAACAATATCAATTGTAATGTATTGATGCATGGTGATGTCTATGTTATGATTCATGTATATTCATTGTGATGATATTCAATTTAAGTCACGCGAGCCCTCAGACGTTTCCGCCGTCTGGTTTCGGGGGTGTGACAGGTTGGTATCAGAGCTCTATTTGTAGTGAACTGGCATATCTAACCACACATTGATATGCAACTATAAACCAAAGAGGGACTAGAACAACTCTGAACAAAACAAAATAAAACACAACGATAAAAACATCTTTACTTGTGCGATATAGGAAAAAGAACATAACACCAAATCAAATAAGATAATACTGACATCTTGGTTAAGTCGGGATTGTTCTTAGTTGTATTAAGGGGTGGATGTAGCCTGACCAACTACATTTTCTCTGAAGTACAACTATTACATGCTCCGAAAAACCTCGATGGACGGTAAACCTAAAAACATACCCCTTGTTACCAAGAAAAGAACATCAACTCAAATTACATAATAACTAAAACATCTTAGGAGTAATAATAGTTTATTCATATACCTCCTCTCAGTCGCAATGGAAGGAGAACACCAAGGCATTCAGTTTCATCAGGTCTTAATGGCCCACAGGATGATCGAGGATGAGCCTGAGGGAGATCAGGGAGGAGCACACGGCGTGGGGCCCGACGAATACACGGACACAGACTACGAGTTTGATGGTACCGACGACGACATGGATGA